ATTCGGGGGGGTCTACGGGAGGAGATGGGGACAGCCCCCCTCTCCAAGTCTCCCGTCTCCTGGCCTAGGAACGGAGCGTGCAGAGAGGCGGTCACGACGCGAGACCCCTCCCCAAATCTCTTTATTCTAAGCCTGCATCTGGGTCTGGGTTCTGAAGCTGTAAAATGAGGGCGCTGCACCCCTCCCAGCCTGGCACGGTGGGAGCCAAAGGTGGAGCCCCAGTTTCCCTCTTCCCACCTCTGGCCTGCAGACACCCCCATCCCCGGACCCCGTTGAGGGCACCCACATTCCTTTTCTTTTGCTGTGAACCCCTATCCAGGCCTGGAAGCTGGAGGAGATGGGGGACCCCCAGCCTTTTTTCTATACTGTCCCATCCCAGCCCCCACATCAAGGATCAAAGGGGGGAGCATTTCACTAACATCTTTTGTAGGTACCCCAAGATTGGAATATGGGGAGGAGGTCACTGTGGGTCTCCTGCCTGGCAAGGACTGGTCAGATCAGGCCTGGAAGGACTAAGAGCCTGGATTTCGGGGGAGGGTCCTTCTCTTAACGGGGTTTGGGGAGGGGGGCGGTGAGCATCTGCTCCCAGAGATGAAAATAAATCGAGGTAAATTAAGATCTTGCCAGGAGGCTCGGTGCTAAGTGGGATGTGGAGGAGGGATGGGGGGTGGGCAGCCCCTCCATCTGTCTCAGCTCCCCCAAGTCACCTGCTCCAGCTGCATTGGGGACCAGGAGGCAGCAAACATGGACCCGCTTCACCGGTGACCTTGGGCAGGTGATGCTTTCCTGAGCCTCCGTTTTGTCTTTCAAAAATCGAGGGTTATTTTTTTTGGGGGGGGCAGGCTTCGAACCCTGCTTCCTACAGATTAGCAACCTAGCCACCCCGCCTTCTGCTACATGGCAATTCAGGTATTTTGAATAAGATGCCAATGGTTTGGGGGTTACAAGAGAGCAGTGGCTTTGGGGTCCCCCCATGTGCCTCGCTGAGCCTCGGTTGACAGTGCCGTAAAATGGGCTGATGGTCCCTTTGTGGAATTACTGGAAGGTCCAGGATTAAAGGAGGCCCCTGCCAGAAAATCAGATGATCAAGTCGTTAGAACAGGGGGTTCAGCCCTCCTGGCCTCACCCGTGGGGCCACCGTGGGGCACACCCTGACCCACATACCATCAGAGGTGAGCTGCTTCCTGGGTGGATTCCAGGACAGGAGAAGGAGGAGGTGGGAGTGACCACGCCAGTCTGTCCCTCTGTCTCCTGCAGCTCCATCCCAGCCCCAGTCATGGGCACAGGAGTGGATGCTGAACTGGGAGTCAGACACCCCCCGGGGCATGAACCTACCTCTGTCTGCGTGTGGCTTTGCCCACCTCCCACCCTGCCCCGTGCCATGGCTTGTCCTGGGAGATGGGCTGAATCCCTCTGGGAAGATCAGAGGAGATCGTGGGAGGTGAGGAGGGCTTTAATTGCAGTGGTGGTCATTATACTATTAATTACGATATTAGTGCTCCTTAAATAGGGTCACAGCTAAGCAGGGAGGGAGGGAAAGGAAGGGAGTGTGAAAGGGTGCTGCTTGCTAAGTCTGCAGCTCCCAGGACCATCAAGAACACAGCAAGCTGGGGCCGGCAGGTGGCATGGCAGTTAAAGGCGCTGGATTCCCGCATGGCTGGCGGCAGTTCGAGTCCCCAACCTGGCAGCTTGCTTTCTCACATTCCCTTTGTCTCTCTCTGATCAAATTATAATGAGTGAATGAATAAATAAATAAAATTAAATAATTACTTTTAAATAATAACAAATGGAATTAAATAAATAAATTATTCTTTTTTTTTTTTTTT